ATACTGAAGTCATTTAATTTTTATCTTCACAGCTAAAGTTACATACATTTCCCTCACAGAAGTTGTAATTTCCCCAGTTCCAATCCTGTACATTACCTTCACCATTAACTTGAAGCATAGTTACATATTTTAACCATATTCCATCGAATTGTCTCTGAAAAATATTCTATATGTTATCATTAAATTTCAACCAAAAGCAGCATTGAAATTTTTTAACATCTGCAAAACAATTGCAGATACAATCAGTATTAGCTGGACCAGAGGGAAGTGAGGGCTAAAAATACCCCTCTGCTGTAAGATTTAAGAAATAGGTCACACCATAAGGTCAGTTGGTATCATTCTGGACTACAGAAAGGATGGCCCTGGTTTGAATTCCCAATGGGACATTCTGAACTTATGTTGTTTTTAAAACTCAGGTCTCCTCTGAAAAAGCATAATGTCCTTATTACTTTGTCCACATATTCTTTACCTACTATCCACTTTATGTTCTTTAATTTGCACAACCGAAAGCAAAATTACATGAGAAAAGTGCATAGTAATATAGTGCTGATAAGAATCTTACCTGTGTATTGGTCATTTTCTCGACATTTGACCGTTTGAGAGGAGTGGAATAAGAATTGAGCATCAGTTTGGACTGGTGGCCGGTGTAGATGGCCATGCCTGTACAAAAGATGGAAAGAAAAAAGTAAGTGTTTCTGTTGCAAATATGAGCACTGACACAATTCAATAATAATGATGATAATAATAATAATAATAACAATAACAATAATTGCATTTATATAGGGCATTATCATGCTCTACAGCATGCCCTATGTGCCTTACAACTATTATGACCTCAGTAGACCCTAGAACACTCAAGTTCTCAGCTTCCCTGGAATCATACAGTACAAGCTGCTGATTAAGTGATCAAGCACTAACAAACTGATGAGATCTTTTGCTGTCTATAGAATGTCTAAAAGTCAAAACTCTATTGGGAAAGAAACAAGTAGAGTCAAAACCAAAAAAATGGCAACACAACTGCAACTCACCATAAATCCAATCTGTGTTTTTCAAACAAGCCCCTCGCAACAATATTTGGTCTGGGCCTAAAGGCACAGCCCTGAAATGAAAAGGCACAGAAATCATCAATTAGGACAATTTTTTCACTGTAGGGGCCTATGGCTGATACGATTCCGGTTAATAAATGTTCAGGCCATTTACTTTCACAAATTGAATTCTAGTCTCAACCCCTATACTATCTGTAGGGACCAAAGTTCAATCATTTTTAAAATGCCACATGTTACATTGTTAATCCTGACTCCACTGCCAATTAGTTATGTTTGGTTTTACAGCACTTGCAACACAAATAGGAAATAAAACGGCAAAAGATTAGAGGTGTTACTAGAGAGCAAAACACAGAGAAAAAGAGGAGGAGAAATAAGGACGATAGATGCTTGATAGGAAAGAAAGGGCAAACCACATCAGGGTACCCACCAACCATCCAGCCGCTGCCAATTAGTGTAGCAGCTCCTCAACATTTTTATTCAGGCTTATGTTTGTGAAATGTGCTCAAAACCACTTAGACAAAACATAACAGTGCTGATGAAAGAGTAGATATGACCCCCATCTTTTGATATCATGGGAGCAAAAATAACTCACAAGTGTAAGAATGTATACATTTAAAAACTTATCTTTCCAAAACATTCCTAGCCCCAGTCAACTGTTACACTTAAGGTGTTCAGAAGCTTTAAAAAAAATCCACTCTTCTTGCATATACACATGAAAGGAAATGCCTTTTCAAACAGAAGTCTAGAGGCATTTATCCACACTGAAAGATAAAATAGTTCTCTCTATAACTTTTGACTTTCCACTATACTAACCTTCAATCCCATTATTCTTTTTTTTTCATGTATTCTTCATTTTCCTAATCCATGAAATCACAACAGTAACAATTCATATCCAACAGCTCAAAGAACAAAACATTAACCAGAAATGTCACCTTGGGTAACAAAAAAACCCCACAAAAAGGATTTAACAGATTACCAAACTTCTTGCCCTCATTTTTAACTGAACTAGAAAATACTCACTCTATTGCAATCTGACATAATCTTAAGTTCATAAAGTTAAATTTTTCACACAAATTGCCTGACGTCAATTTTGCATAACAAAACTATCCAATTGTAGAAAAAATATTTGCAATATCTGAGTTAAACTGTTAACAGATCTGAGCAAAAAATGCTGTCATTCAAATCAATCAAATTATTATGACCGTAGCTCATTTGCATTGAATCTGTAATATTCATTTTGTAACACAACACCTGGTGCATTGCAAAACCCGAGACCCTGCACTGGTACACCACATGGCACAGTGCTTTGAATGGCATTTTTATCTTGACAGAAGGGAATATATTAATATAGTTTTATTATCTCATCAAAACTTGAGTGAAAACCAAGGGTAGGTATGGTATTGTGATTTTCATAAGCCAGAGCATTACATTAGGAATCTTTAAAATTTCTTACAGCATCGAAATTGAGAGAGAAGTTGAAATATGCTACAAAATTTTTAAAAATGCTACATAGCTATTAGATATATTATTTACAACGGCACACACACTCTCTCTCTCTCTCTGATCGTTAGTTCTTGACTTATTTGAACATTATGGCATCTTACAAAAGAAAAGCAAGGCTCAATCAAGAGAAAGTCATCAATACAATGAAAAATGAAAAATGGTCTTCCTTCACAATCCATTCTAAACCAAAAGAAACTGATCAATTCAACAACGCTCATAAAAATGTAATTAAAATGTAGTTCCCTTTAAACTAAGCAGTAATGTAATTCAATCGGATCACAGATTTTTTCGATTTTTTCCTTCACCCTTTGAGCCTTGAGCTCCCTTAGGACAACAGCTAGATTTACGCCAATTGGCGCTTGGGCATGTGTTAGGTGTGTAATAGGTGTTGAAGGTGGCATAGACTCTCAGGTTTGTGTTCCTGTCTATAGAGACGAGCCACTGACAGGTGGTATCTTATACTTGTACTACTTACAGCTTGACAAGCTGATTAAATTGGGTCCATATACATGATAAAATTACAACCAAAAAAACCCACATTGCCAGCGTCCCACTCTGAAGGTGTATTTGCTTAATTAGATCTATGTCAAACATTTCTTTTGTTAGTGATCATCTTACTAACAACTGCAATTACAAATGGCGATACTAAAATAAGTAACAAACACAGTCTACACCAAATTTTGAAAAATTCTAGAAGATAATAATGAAGAATTTACATTCCCCCCCCCAAGTGCTTAACCTAATTTGACAGACACATGGTTAAAGTCTGACACTGACAATGCGAATCACTGTTGACAGTCACTAGAAAAAACAAAGAAACGCTGCAAGAATAAAATGAACAAATAAAGGGCAAATGGAGGAACAATACAGATCTACTCACTGGACATTATCTTTTTCAAGGAAAAGCTTCAGCGCCTTGCGCTTCATCCTTTTAGAATTTCTCCTACCAAATATTCCTTCCTCAAATCTGAACGAGAAAGACTTCCTCATTTGAGCCTCCCAAAGACATTGTTAAGAGTGGTTTTGTTTTAGGTTTAGTAAGAGTTTTACGGCACTTGTGACAAAACAGGTCATAGCAGAACGAAGATCAGAGGTGTTACTAGACAGTAACATACAAATAAAAGAAGGAGGGGAAATAGGATGACATATGTATGATAGAAAAGAAGGAGCATACAACTCCAGAGCACATGCCAGTCATCCACTGTTAAGAGTGGGTATCGACATAAGATAACAGATCATTAGTTTAGTTTAATAAGAGTTTTACGGCACTTGCAACACAATAAGGTCATATAAGTGCGGAAGATTAGAAGTGTTACAAAAGAGTAACAAAAACACAAAAAAGGAGGAGAGATAAGGACGATAGATGTTTGATAGAAAAGAAGGAGCAAACCACACCAGAGCACCCGTCAACCACCCTGTAACAGATCATTATATGCCAAATTAATATAATATGCATTCGGAGCTGGGGGGTTTCCAAAAGAATACAGATTAAACTGGAGTGGGCACCATGCCCATCGCATGAGAAGCATGCAGACACAGGAAGACCAGTAGCGAGATAAATTCAAAGAAAGGACTGTGCCAATATTAGAGTATAAGAGGAAGGGCTGGTAGAGGAATGAGGGAATAAGGCTTGGGACAGCCTGACAAGATATTCCCTGTGCAGAAGATCATAGCTCTTAATATGCTTGTATACAGAAGGCTACTCCTCCTTTGTGCTCAGCCAATTTTGTCATCCAATTTTTCAGCATCCCAAACTTCTTAATAATTCAAATACTAGCCTTTCAGCATAAAATAAACACCAAATTGAGCATAAATGGATGGTCCAAGCAATGAACAGAATAGAACTGAAGTTTGAAAGATTTTTGCTAAGAAAGTAAACTACCAAATATTCCCGTGAGCCAGCTGAACTGGTACATCGTATGTCTATTAAAAGTAAGCAAAGGGAGGAAAACTTTTTTAAAAACCCAAATGTCTCAAACTCAAATTTCCAGGTGCAGTGGCAGGCAGAGTCTGGATGAGCCTAGGCCACATCAAGTATTCCATAAAAAAACCTTTCAAGTACTTTTTAAAAATGTACAACTGATCTAATCTTTTCCATCTTTATTAACAGGCATACGTGATAAACCCAGGGCAACAGTTTGCCAAAAAGATATGTGTGAGTAAAACCTGCGGGCCGCACTAACACCAAATTTTGGTGTCAAGCAGAGGTCACAAATATTATTATGCGGGCCTCAGTTGGCCTGTAGGCAGCGAGTTTGAGTTTCTTGCTCTAAACTGACCACTGCAAGATAAGTCTGACACCCCCCCCCCCTTCTCCCCCCGAGAAAAAAAAAAGAAGCCAAATACAATATTTAAATAGTGGACTGCAACAAGCAGAGGAAGTTTTTAAACCAGGAGAAGAAGGAATAAGAAGAAAGAGTTGACAGATGATTAAGCTGACAAAGCACTAAG